GCTGCCATGCTGCAGGCAGAGGAGCAGGGGTGCTGCTCCCAAGGGTTTTATAGCTGCCGGGGTCCATGGTGACTGACAGCTGATTAGGGGGTATTAGCACCCACAGAGCGTCAGCAGGGATCTGGGGCAGCCCCTGCCGCCCCCTCCCCGGCAATTGTCAGGCAGGGACTGGCCAGGAGCATCCCCCCCCTCCCTACCTATCACCAGTCAGGACAAGTCCAGGACTCCTTGTCCTCACCCAGCCCTGTGCAGTCCCCCAGGGATGGGGTGTAGCAGCACTGCCATGGGGACATACACGGGACATGGCACACGTGGGGCTTTTTTACAGAGCCAAGAGCTGTCGGTCCCTGCCCTTGACCACAGCCCAGGCCTGGCCCTGGGAGGGGCCTGGCAGAGCCCCCACACTGTGGTGGGAGACCCAGGGGTTGGTGGCAGAACTTGTGCAGGGCCCAGGTGGACATAGGGTCCACCTGGCAAGGTGCTGCACCAAACCCCCTCCTCCAGTGCCTTGGCCAGGTTCTTGCAGGATCCTGGCTGTGGGAGGGCAATGGGGAAGGGGCTGCACAGCCCCAGGGACCCTTTGCCTGGGTGAGGATCCAGCCCCGTGAGTGCCAGGGCACTCCTGGGGCAACGAGCGGGCAGGACAGCAGAGGGCAGGTGGGTAAGGGGCCTCGAGAGCCCACGATCCCCCAAGCCACCCAGCTCCTGCTGCTGTGCCACCCCGCTCAGACTGGGATTATCCCACAGGTTGTATCCGTCATTAAATACCGACTAATAACGCTCTCAGGATATTAAATATGTAACAAACCCGCTTAGCGCTGGCCGGGGACAGGAAGGGAAGGTCACCGGTGCTAACGAGCCCTGCTGCAGGCCCCGATGACAGCAGTCTCAGGGTGGATGTGCCAGTACTGACAGTGGGCTGTGCCCCCAAACACCTGCTGTGCCCTATGGCCACAACCCTGGCAGCTCCTGGAGCTCCCTGGTCCCATCTGTACCAGTCCTGTCCCCTCCTTGGGCTGGTCCCATGCCCTTGGCTGCCCCAGGCCTGGAGGCCACAGGGCAGCCAGGAGCCAGTGTCACAGGGCAGGAGGTGACAGCCAGGCTGCATGGCTGGGACCAGCCCTGGCCATAGCCCCGTAACGGCCCCGTAACCTTGTCCCCATGGGACTCCTCCAGCCCTAATCAGCGCCGCGGATCCGCTTTATTAGATAATGGGTCTGTAATCTAGGAAAGCGCCTGGGGATTGCTGCAGCGTGGCCTAACCCTGCGCCGCGCAGCTGGAGGGCGCAGCACAGCTGGACCCTGGCCGAGCCACGCGCCCGCGCGCCCGGCTGCAGCTGGAGGCCAGGGCAGCAGGACCCAGCCAAAGCCACCACAGCTGCTGGCCCAGAGGCACTGCCAGGACACCTACACCCCACTGCTCAGCTGGGGGTTAAAGCCAGGGGGGGTCCAGTCTAGTGTATGGGCAGGGGCTGGCACGGCCCCGAGGCCTGGGACAAGCTGTGGGCTCCCTGGGGACAGCGGACCAGGAGCCCAGCTGCAGGCTGGCCACCACAGCTCAGCCCCAGGGCTCTGGCCTCAGAGAAGCTCCTGTGGCTATCGGGTGGTTCCCGGGCTTTTTCCCCTCCACAGATAATCAGTTTAATGCAAAAGCAGAGAACTAAAACTCCGAGATTAGCTGTTATAATCACATGTAAACACTTCCAGACAATCCGCTCAGGGAGGGGCGGCGCGTGTACTTCGGGACAGAGTTACATGGGATTTAGGCTGTTTACCACTCGATTAATTTCATGACTCCAGCCCCAAACCCACGGTGGTACCAGCTGCCCGGCTCCCTTTCCCGGAGTCAAGGTCACTCTGGCAGGAGGAAGCCAATAGCACAGGGCAGCCACAGCTGCTGGCGACGATGAGCCTGACCCCACTGCCAGACACTGGGTCCCAGCTCCAGGGGGACACAGGGAGGGGGCTGCAGCCCCCAGACCCTCCCAACAGGTGCTCATATAAGTTTCAATCCCTTTTTATTCATAAGCATAGTCAAAGCGAACCTCTCCCACAATCACCCACAACCCACCTCGCCCGTCTGTCCCTCGTCAGAAGAAAAATAGAACATTTTCCACCTCCGCTGCTTCCTGGTGCGGATTCTGCTGTCCAGGACCCGCTGCTGCCTGCCCGCAGGCCCGAGAGGCCAAGCAGGGGCAGCTGCCTCCGCACCATGACTGTGCCCAGCCCACGGCTCTCTCCCCAGGTCCTGCCAGGCAGACACGGAGCCGAGAACATGATTCAGGAAAAGGGATTTCAGGCCAAGTGCAACAGGCAAAGAGAGCAGCCACATGGCCCAGCCCGCCTCAGTGCAGTCCCTGCTGGAGGCAGCCATGTGTGCCAGGCCACGCAGGACCCTGGTGGCAGACGGGGTGGCATCATGCCCCTGCGGTGGGTCCTGGCACCTCCCTCGTAGCGCTGAAGCAATAAGGCCACTGCTGGGGAGGCAGCTCCTGCCCGGCTCAGCGCGGTGTCCAGGGCCCCGGGGCTATTCTGCCAGCGTGATGACGTCGTAGTGGATCCCCTGCTGCAGCTGCTGGATCTGCTCAGCCGTGGCCTCGGTGGCAAACACGCCCTGTGCCTGGGCCATGGCTGCATCGGCCACTGCTGTGGGAGAGGGAGGTCAGAGGCTGCCTGGGGCCCCCCATGCCAAAGGGGATAGGGCAGGCATAGGACGCCAGCACAAGGGCCACCACGTTCCCATGAGACCAGCAGAGATCCACCTGGGGACACTGAGGCCACTCCCCCAGTCACAGAGGTGCAGCAGTGAGATGGCTCTCCTGCCTTGTCCCCCCAGCCCACCCAGCTGCAGCAACTGGGCTGGGATCACCAACAGGCACCACCCAGAGGCCAGCAGGACTGTCCCCAAGACCCCGAGGGACACAGGGCTGGCAGAGCCACACTAGAGCTCGGCCCTGGCCCTACCTGAGACAGCCGAGTGTGCAGCCGCCTCCAGCTGTGCCTGGGTGACCAGCTGCTGCTCCTGCGAGACAGGCATGTACTGGATCTACAGAGAGAGGGGAGGGGAGTCAGGGAGGGGCCCACTCTTCTGGCCACAGCTGCTGCAACCAGTCACTGACCTATGTGCACATCCCATCCCTCCCATCCCACACAGTCCTGGCAGCTCCAGCCCCTCACCTGCTGCTCCGGGAGGAACTGGCTGCTCTGCTCATGCTGGCTGTGGGTGATCTGACCATCCTGTACCTGGGACAATAGCCACCGTGGAGCTGTGTTAGGGTGTCCCTGCCCCTCAGCAGAACTGTGATGTGAAGGATGCAAGCCCCAGGGAGCAGAAGGGAGCCCAGCCGCTCACACAGCACCCTCACACCTCCCCCTACCCAGGGAATAGACCACCTAGAGCATACCTGGATGTGATGTCCCTCAGGGACAACAACATACTCGTGGGGAAGCAAGTGCTGTACGCCATCCTGGGCAATGATGTACTGAACCTGCGAACACAGGGGTTCACATCCAATAAGGACACTATGGCCCTCCCCTTACAAAACACAGGGCTGGTTCTTGCCTGTCTTCTGTGCCTATTCCCACCCCACCTCTCCTGTCCCTAGCTCTCCTGTCCCAGCTGTGTGGACCCCTGTGGTCCCTGGGGCATGGCCCCCCTCACCTGGTTGTCAGAGGTCACCAAGTGCTGCACTGTCTGTCCATCAGCTGTCGTGATCTCCTGGATGTAGGCAGCCTCCTCCTGCAGGGCAGCAAGAGCTGGGTGGTGGGCCTGACCACAGCCCCCTGGGGTGAGGGGAGACCTGCCCAGCTGCAGAGGGTGTGGGGATGGAGCCCAAGGGGCTGGGCTCACCTGGCTGGTGACACTCTGCTCCTCTGCCACGGTGACACTCTGCTCCTGTGCCACGATGATGTGCTCCTGGCCCAGGGCCTGCTGGAGCCGCGGGGGAGCCAGCACTGCCTGCCCGGCCTGCAGAGCCGCTGGAAGGCAGAGCCGGCTGGTGGAGACCCCACAGGGCTGCTGGCCCTGCTCCAGGCCCCCTGCCCACCCCAGTGGGGACCCCAGGACCGTCCCTTAGCTCTGCTCGTGGCAGGTCAGAAGCTTAACTAAACTCTCCCAACATAAAGAAAATAAGAGATTGCTGTGGGCAAAATGACCTTCCCATCAGACCATCAACTCCTTCCCCTTTCAGTCCTGAGCTGAACCCACTGGGACCTGCTTGGAGGAGTCACTGGACTCCCAGTTCTGCACAGAAGCACAACCAGCATCTCCCTAGGAGAGCCCCCACACCCAGCCCTGTCCCTGCACCCTAAGTCCTGCTGCTGCTGGCAGCCCCAGCCCTTGGCCCACAGATTGAGTGAGTCTGCACAGGGAGCTCTGGGCAGGGGAAACCCACAGGCCACCATGGTCACATCTTACTCTGCAGGGTGGCCAGTGTGTCCTCGTCACTGTTCAGGATGATGGTCTGGGCAGCAGCCGCAGGTGCCGCCGGCTGCTTCGCCTCCACACTGTGCAAACGCTGCATGTGGAACTTGAGGTGTCCGTTGCGGTTGAACCTACAGAGGAAGGAGAGCGAGGGGAGTTTGCACCGGCAGCACTGGGCCACTGTGCCCTCCACAAACACCCAGCCATGGGCACCACCAGTACATCCCAGAACACAGCCTGTCCTGGCTCCCAAAACGCTCTCATCAGTGCCCAAGTCCTGAACCTCCCTGTGCAGAAGTTCTTGGAGATGAAGCTATGTCCGGCTGCAGCAAGAGCCATTCTCAAGGGCAAGGTTCCCTCTAACAAGGAACAACATCCCACCTCTCGAATTCTGGAAAGTTCTATGGGACCTCCCGAGGCAGCAGCTCCACTCACCTCTGCCCGCAGACCTGGCAGGCGAAGGGCTTCTCGTTGGTGTGGGTCAGCATGTGCCTGCGCAGGTCCTTCTTGTTCTTGGAAGCGAAGCTGCAGTGGGGGCACTTGTGCGGCCGCAGGCTGGCATGCTGGACCATGTGGCTCTGCAGGCAGGAGGACACAGGGTCAGAACGTCCCTGTTGCCCCACACCTCGTGTTCCCAGGGCTGTTTCGTGCCAGGAAACTTACCCGAACCTCTGGCCAGAGGGCTGCGGTGAACGGGCAGTCAGGACACTTGAAGGTGCTAGGCCCAATGTGGGCTCTTTTGTGACTCTCCATTTCTGCCCTTCCTGTGAACATGGCTGTGCAAATCTTGCAGGAAAACTTTTTGGCTGTGGAAATCTTGCATGAGAGCTTCTTAGCTGTGGAAACCTTGCACGAGAGCTTCTTGGCCACGCCTTGGAGCGCAGGCCACTTGACCTTTGGGGATGAGACTTCCTGCCCCTCAGAGGCTGGGGACAAAGACGAGTCCTTCTGGATCTGCCTGGTGACACACTGCACCAGGGGCCACTTGACGCTGGTGGGCTGTGCCTCCTGGCCCTCTGCAGGCGTGGGAAGGGCTGTGTCCTCACTGAGGGGCTGAGAGAGAAACACCCAGTCATATCTGCCCTCGTGGCACTCTGACAGGAAGGGAGCTCAGCTTCTTACCTCCACGTGATGGAACTGGCTCCCTGGGACGTCGGATGACATGACGTAGTGATTGCTGTGGTCCTTCAGAGCCTCCTCAGCCATCACAGCTTCGCTCACCACAACAGCGTGGGAGGTCTCTGCAGAGCTCTCCTCCTCGCTGCAAGAGAGGACAGGGTCATGGAGATCTGCCTCCTCCTCACCACCTAAACCCTCCTTGCTTAGGGTCAGAGGGGCCCATCTCTCCACTCCTCCCACAGCTGACCTGTACAGTGTGCCTGGGGCTGGGTTCTCTTCACTGATGGGGGTGATAATGCTGTACTCGGTTGTTCCGCCAAAGGGAATGGTGATCTGCTGCAATTCTGAGCCACCCAGGGCTGCTTCCTCGTATGCCTCCTGCACCAGTGTCTCCCCAGGCTCCGCCATGTGCAGCGTCACCAGCTTCTGCCGGGGCTCCTCAGAGCCCCCCTCTGCCCCCTCCTCCTGCATCTCGCAGGGGCCCTGCGTGTCCCCTGGCTTCACCACAGCCACCTGCAGGGGGACAGCAGCTCAGCAGGGGGAGGTGAGGCTCTGCCAGACATCCCCGGGAGAGGAGCAGGGCTGGGCAGCCCCCCCCAGCAGGCATGGACCCCTGCAGCCCCCTCACCTGCAGTGAGCCTGCAGCCAGCTCTCGCTGGGTGCTCATGTTCAGCAGCAGGTCCAGGGCTGTCTGCGTGGCCAGTTCTGCTGACCCACCCACATCTGCAGTGGCAAGGAGGGGGTCAGGTGGGTGCTTGCTCTATCCTCCCCATCCCGCCACCTCCCTAGAGCTCACTTGCCTTGTTCATAAATGATGGTGGCCCCTCCCAGGGCGTCCTGTGAGAGGACGGGGGGCTCAGTCCCCGGGATGGCCTGGACCGCGTGGAGGGCGACAGGGCCAAGACGCGCCTGCGGGAGCGAGAGCTGAGGGCGCGGCCAGGCCGGGAGGACCG